GAGAGAGAGAGAGAGAGAGGCCGTGGCAGTGAGTGTAGGAGGAATATGTTATTAAATCATATCGCTGTTTCGCCATTAAACGGGACACGTAATGTCTCTGCCCCTGGCTTGTAGGGCTACAGCTTAATACAATCACCAACTTTACTAGACGCCTCCCTGAATAATCCACTTATACTGACAGAGAAACAGCCACCCAAACAAAAACAACAGAGAGAGGGAGAAAGAGAGAGAGGGAGAGGTCGGCCTTGGTGTCCAGTGTCTGTGTTTTATCCTGGGATATAAAATTACAAATGGCGCCTGCCATGAAGAGCTATGCAGGCAGGGAGACAGAGAGAGAATGCATTAACTTGGACAATCCACGTATTCCTTATCCCATTAACAGACACAGAGAGAGGGGGGCCAATTACATGGAGCCGACCCCAGAAACAATAAAGGATTGGCCTGATCAGAGCTATTGTTGCTATATTCATGGCCTCCATTTAGGCTGGATTCACCAAACAGTGAAACCTCCATGTGTGAATAAAATTACTGAATCTAAACATTTTTAGTAAGAATTAAAATAAATGTCAGATATTATCAGAATAATAAAACGGAGGCCTGCGGGGAAGAAACAAGGTGAACGCCAGGGAGATGTGGGATCATCCATAACTGAAAAATGGTCGGCCATTGCTTTGTAAATAAATAGCTATAAGTGAGGACGAGGCATGGACAGAATAGGAGAAGAAATGAGAGGAGAAAAAAAAGAGAAAGAAAAAGGACAGAGATGGAAGGCCGAAAGAAGAAGGGGGGGCTGCTTGCGGCGGGTAGCAATACGGCAGCTTAAAGCATTGTGAACTCTTCTTGAACCGGGATTGAAGTCATACGGGCCATAAATCACTGAGCCAGCCACTCCGCCGTTCACAAACTGCACAGCGAACAAACACACTCTGTATTTCTGGTTTGTTGTTGAGCTCGTGCATTACCGGCTGGCCTGCCTGCCTGCCGGTGATGCTCCTTACCTTCCTTAGCACCGGTGGTCCCGGTCCAGTCCCGCACGGACCCAGCAACACCGCATCACAGTTTAGTCCTCACGCACGTTCACTAGGCAATCAATAATAATAATAAATAATTAAATAAATAACGAATCCGCTCGCTTTCTCTCCCGTTTTCCTCTCCTCCTCCTCCTCTCTTCTTCTCTC